TAGCAATATTAACAGTTTAACTTTTGGCTGTTTTGTTGCTGATTCATTATTGTCTGATCGTACCTGACTCGGTCTTTATGAGAAATGAAGAACTCACCTTCCCAGTGGACGCTTCATAAACTACTTTAATCTTCTGTCTCTGCTCGTTGCTTCTTTTCACCAGCATTGCAATGACCACATCCTCGTCCACTCCTGTGAGGGACAAGCTGTACTTTACCTTACTTTCTTTAAAGAGAGCAGCATGTATGTCAGAAATGGGGAGTTTTCAAGTAAGATTAAAAAAACCTTTAGTTTTAGTTTACAAGTACATTAAAGCAATGAAAACCAGAGGAGCAGCGTGACTTGCGGCTTTAAATTAAGTTTTTCTGTAAACATTAACCATGTTTTAAATTGTTCTTCAGAATTCTCCAACTTTACATTGTACACCACCTGCTGAAACATTTAACAACAACCCAACAGGACAGAATTTTTAAGATAACATAAGTGGACACGCACCTTTGCTTTCAATGGCGGTCTGAAGAACTGAAGCATCACTGCTGGCATTGAAGTTCGGGTATGGGGTGACTGTTCCATAATACTTAGGTTTCGGCTTACCCTTCACCTACAACAGCAGCCAGAAATACAGATGTTTTACAAACTCTGGCTGGAACTCAAACCTAGCCTTGATCTTCAGTTTTGAAGATGGATGCTTAAAAAACTTAATTTGAAATATGTAAAAACAAGGAGTGATCAACAGTGTCAAGTGCCTTGGAGAGGTCCACAAACATGGCAGCACAATGATTTTTCACATCCAAGGCATTGGAAATGTCATTCACAACCAAAGTAATGGCAGAAACAGTGCTATGCATCTGAAGGTGGATTGACACGGGCTCAGAACAGTTTGTGGTTAGAAATTCCTTAAAATGACATTTGGATATTGGTCTATGATTATTTGGATGACTCCTTTCTCCACCCTTATGCAGATGGATTACAGGGCAATGAGGTGACAACAGCAGAGGTTTGAGAGCCCGACAGACAGCTGTCAGTAAGTCATTTTACTGAAAAACAATCAAATTCATATGAAAGCCAAATACTCCTAAGACCTAGGAAAAGCTTCTCCTTAACTTCCAAATATAATAATAGTGGTCATTTAGCTTGTGAAAATTTTGATTTAAGTTAAGTAAAACGTAACTGAAGTAACATTATTTCTAATAAAACTGCACTTAGCCAACAACAGGTGTATTCTCCTCGTGACTGGTTGTTCCCATGTGATCTGATACTCACTGTGACAGTGTCATCCTTGGGGTCTCTGTCACGGATCACATTTTTGAATAATTTCTTGAAAAAGGACATGTTTGCTTGGCTGGAACGTTCAAACGAGAAATGAAGTTGCTGTAGAGTGAAAAAGAAAAAGAAATTAATTATTTGAGATGGTTTAATTATTTCTTGTTCTTCATATTCAAACATCCGGGGAAAAAAAACTCACCTGTGCTACTGGAGAAGGTCTCTACACGGTCTCTTTGTAGATCTCAGGTGCTGAGACGCAGTATTTGACTGGTCTCCACCCGTCTCTGTGCAGATGATTTTCAGGCAGGTGTGTTTTCACCCACAGAGGATCAGCCAATCGTCTGCCACCTCTCAAAGACAACATTCCTACGGGGTGACAATCAGAGGCTTGGGCACTTCTGACTGGTTGGGTGACTCTTCTGCACAGACTTGTATTACCCAAACCAAATTACTGACCTAAGACAACACATCGTTGTTTTCTGCACAATTACATGACTGAACCTGATGTTCCACATTTTTTGTGGGTACTGTTTATTGTGTTGGGGAGTGCTACTACATTCAGTAAGTGAAGAAAGTTTACAACACCTTTTTTGCCTCCAGAGGGAGCTGCTCAAAGGCTGATATATTTCCTCAATCGATGTCACTTGAGTCAGTCAGTTGCGGCTGAAGACTGAAAATGAAAAATCTGGGGGTGTGAGCTTACCAGACCTCTGTAACCTCTATTTGAGGCTCGAAGCTCCAGAATACATTAGCCGCTACTAACATAACACATCCAGATCTCTGACTGAACTGTCTGATTTTAGGTTGCACTGTGGGAAATGAAGGTGCAGGTTTTGATTTTAAAGATTTTATTCGTAAAGTCTGAATTTTGTGGAGAAAGGACACAATTACCAACTTTGTGGAAAAAGTTATATAATTAGTAGTGTAACTAATTACTGTTGGCAGGGAGTAATGAGTAATGTAATTTTACTTTTGAAAAAACTAATTTATATAATATATAATAAATAAAATTTATTGAGTAACACTGTCCATTGGTTATCCTTTTCTAAAGTGGTGGGAACATACAAAAAACAACAACAGTCACTGGGTTCTTCATTTTGTTCTTAATGAATAATGTTTCACTTCGATCTCTGAGTTTGTCCCTTCCTTGTGTGGTTTCAAGAAAATAACTAAATTTATTTCAAATTAAAAGTATTTAAAATAAAAGTAGGATAAATTACAATAAAAAAACACAGATAAAAGATTTTAAACTTTATTGCAAAGTCAGAATTATACCATTAATTACAAAGTCAGTGTAAATGTGAGAGAAAACAAAAAAGCCTGAGGCGACAATGTATTGCTACCACGCCAGAAAAAGAAAAACAGACGTTATATTGTAAAAAGTTTATTGTTATAACAAGATATTTTCATGTTATTATGACATACAAACTGAGTTATAACAGAACTTTTCTTGTTATAACAATTTACTATTATCTTGTTATAACATAACTCATGTCATTGCGTTATTTAAACAATATAAGTTATTACTTTACAACATCAAACATTATAACAATATAAATAACGTGAGATGTAGAAATATCTTGTTATAACAAGAAACTTTACACTTTATAACATTATACTGATACGTTTTTCTTTGGCATGGCAGCAATAAGCTTACATAACAGATGTCTCAGTTACAGAAAATAAATAATAATTAACATAAAGTACAAGGTGAATGAAAACTCACAGTGTCTGCCCACCTTTAGACCACAAACATGGATCAGCAACACAGTCTTCCTTCATGAATCAGAAGTAACTCAAGACAAAATTGAGGTTTTTACTGCAGTGTGTTTGAAACAGTACTGTAGGTTACAGTTTAAGCTGTAATTTTCAAAAATGACCTCTGGTAAACATATTTTACAGAAAATTGTTGTTGATGTCTGTGAGGAAATATGAGGACTAAATGAAGGTCTTTGTAACTGCAAAATGCCACAATTCCAACACCTTGTTTTTGAGCTTATTTCTGTCTCCAGCTGTGAAATGAACAGATTGTCTGAGGGATGAACACAGCCTGCAGGAATGTGATTTTTTCACACTGTTATCTCGGAGGGGGTCCCCTCCCACGGCCTCGGCCCGGTCCGCCACCTGGACCCGGACCCGGCATCGCTCCAGGTCCTCTCTGCCCCGGCATTGCTCCGGGTCCTCTCGGCCCTGGTGGCCGGCTCACCGGCCCTCGAGCGTTGGGGTTGGGCGATGCCAGAGCCACATCTTTCTGCAGGTTAACGCCTTTACCAGCTGACCCAGGCTTTGTCTTAGTCGGCTTTGCTTCTGGCTGTGGTGCCTTTTCTGTTCAGACAGAGACAGTAAGGAATCAGCTGAATCTCTAGATTTCACATGTTTTGAATTCAAAACGATAATACCTTAATGAATGCATAAAATCAGAGCTGTTAGTATTTACCATAAACCATTAATAACACATTAGTGTTCGATATCCAGAAGGAAATTGATTTTTACATTATGACACAGGGGGGAAATTTAGGATTAGTAATGATACACAGATACAATATTTTCTTATAATATTAAAAACTGAAATATTTTAATTATGGAGGCATTTAGCAACGTTTCCCTTCATACAGTCTATCTGCATAGGACAGTCAGCTGTCTGGGAGTTTACTAACCAGGCTCAGGTGGAGGGGCAAGGGATCGGTTCGGCAGCAGGTCCTCAAGGTCTTTCATGACCTGGTTGGTGCTGTCTGTGTTGTTCCTCCGGTTCTTCTCTTCATCCCGAGCCTGGACAGAGAGAGAGAGTAAGCGAGCGAGAGAGAGAGGGAGAGAGAGAGAGATGAAATGTGTTGTTATTTATGTTAAAGTTAATGTGTTAGTCTCTCAATACTCCCTCGCCTGTCACTTTCAGCCCCAAACCCTTTTTGTTCCCACTAAAGATGTAAATCTTTAAAAAACACCTCACAAATATCTAAAAATGCTAAAACAGCTGGGCACTGTAGCTTCAAGCAAACAGACTAAATAGTGAATTTGTTGGGGAAAATACTGCAAATTATGCATGTGCATGATAATGAAGGGATGGCAGTGTGAACATGCTAATGTTTTAGCTGGTAAATGTTTACCATGATAGCCATCTTGGCTTAACATTGTATCATGATAACATGTGCTAATTAGTACTGGACACAAGGTAGAGTTGAGGAAATGGTTAAAAATAATCTAAACAGTAAGTCATTTCAGCACTGCAGTTCTGTGGTAGACTTCTTACCATCTGCATCTTCTTCTTCAGCTCCATGTTGGAGTTTTGGTAGGCCTCAGACACTGAGTTCAGATAGTAGATGGCGAGTCTGTAATGGAGAATGAGAGGATTTGCCATTTTTTCAGTGGCTGCAAAGACAACATGGGAACATGCACTCTACAACAAGTTATTTGTGTAATCACACACTTGCATATATATATGTGTGTGTGTGTGTGCGTGCAATCGTGCATGCGTGCATTTGTGTGTTTATGTGCATGATATCCACTGTGTCTCCTATACACTTACACCATGAGCAGTACAGCCGGTATGATGAGGCCTGGGTTGGCTGCATAGCTGAAGAGCGTCCCCATGAACGCTGGCAGGTCCAGGTCGATGGTCTCCATGATCACATCAAACATCTTCGGCTTCCCGCTGCAATCATCAGCATGGTCAATGCGCGCGTGTGTGAGAGAGAGAGAGTATGTATTTGCATATGCTTATTTCTAACTGGGCTCCCATACCTCAATAATCTGTTATATATAGTTACCTGAAGGGTCCGCAGTCAAACGAAGGCGGCAGGGTCATGATGGTGTAGACGACAGGTAACAGACTGAGGAAGAGGATGAGGAGCAGCAGGCCCATGTAGAAGTTGTTGGACTTGGAGGCCTTGAAGACTCTCTCGTGGGGGACATTAGTGGCCATCACGGCCCAACACTGATAGTACATGGAGCTGAGGAGGCGGAGCACGTTGATGCCGACCAGCCCAGGAGCATAAAACGCACCCATCCTGAAATACACAATGACAACACGTGAAACATTTTCAACATTGGTATTTGAATATCATATCTACTGTATACAATCCATTTGTAAGTCCCATCAAGCTCTTAAAATTAAAATACAAAAGAATGCCACGATTAACTAAAATCACAACTTAACAACTCTCCTTCTCATGAGAAGCTCTACAAACAGATCATAGGCCAGAAACCCAGACAGAATGGAGTAAAAGTAATAATATAGTAATATAGTATATTAATATATATCACCTTACTATTACTACATAATATAGTAATAGTAAGGTGATGCACATGGCATAGTATAATGTTACATAATACGGTGTAATTTACTACATGTAACTGGTGATGGTCATTCAAAGTGCTGTTAATAATGCACTTAGAGTGGCTCCACTGCAACCCGAGACCCAAACACTGGCAGTGTCATTGATATTGTTATCATCTATGCACTCAGTGATACTGGATATGCATGCAGCAACACACACCCATGCATGTAAACACACACACACACACACTGCAACTCACTGGCAATTGAGTGTGTGCAGTATTTGTATATAAAAATAAAGTTTGTACCAGATCATCCCTTGATTGAAGACCAATCCAAGCACATTACCACTGATGTCAAACTCTCCGTATGATGGCTAAAAGTGAACAGGCAATGATTACTTGCTATTTATTGGCAGCTTTACAAATTATAAACATTGACTCACAATTTAAAGGACTAGTGTGTGGGACTTTAAGTCCTTTAAGTCTCCAGGTCAGTATATAGAGAACAAGATTTCAGCTAAATTAGTGGGTTTCACCTGCAACTGCTTACAGTTTTAAAAATTATGAAACAAGACAAAGAGTCTCACAATTGTCTTGTCTTGCAATGACAATGCTAACATGTTGATTTTTAACAGGTATAGTGTTTACCACGTTCGCTATCTTAGTTTCAGTGTGTAAGCATGCTAACATTCGGTAATGGGACTGTAAAGGTTATTAGTTACAACAAGTTATAACAAGTCAACACGTGAAAAAGGTCTGTTGTGTTATTCTGCTTCTTCAGGCGCTGATTAGTCCACCACTTAAACACCTACCGCTAATAAAATTAGCTAAGCCTTGGCAAATTATGGTGTGAGAACTTCTGCACCAAATTAAACAGCTGTATTTACTGTGTGTTCCACCTGCATATGATATAGGGCTAATCTGACTTTTTGCATGCTCACAACGTAAAAATAAAACAATCATGTATTCTATAACTATACCATCACAGATAACAACTCAATAATTGCTCAATAGGTCTTCCTCATTGTAGACATTTTGACATCTCACAGCAGGAAAATAATAAATAATAAAATGAATAATGGCTGAACTTACAAATCCAGCCTCCAGGTCCCAGCACCAGCAGTAGTTGAGGAAGCGAACGATGACGGCTCTGGCAAAGTCACCAATCAGGATGGTCAGGTAGGACACCTGGATGTCCGACACTGTCAGCTTCACAAACTCCTGGAACAACACAGGTTCAGGAAGGTGAAACCAACGGGTACATAAAGGTTTGTGACCCCAGTTTGTCTAACCACAAGTCCTCTGTTTCAGCTGTCTTTAGTGATTATACGATTGAGACTTAATTTCACATCAAAACGGCAGAATCAAGAGATCAATTACTCTTAAAATACGGAGTGATAAGATTTAAATATTGAACAGGAAGTTGGAGAATCATCAGCACAGCTGGTGTCTGAATAACTTTTTGATTTCATTTGATTCTTTGGCTTAAAAGAAGTGCATTAATCATCATAGCATAACAGGAGTGTGGCTAAAATATGTTGTTTCTGTGTTATACAAAAAAAATCTATATTATTCAGTGTGCCTGAATGTATAATACACATTAGTACACTGTCTATTATTCGCCATACTTATTTCATCTTTTTCCTCTTCCTCTGCACACACATACACAAAAAATATGTGGCTTGATTGGGGGAGACGTGCCATGACTTTCCTTATTGATACCTTTCATGATTTCCAAAATGTTCCATGTTTTCTGGTGATTTTTCCCTATTCATTCCTTATGGAGAATTCCCAGTCATACTTTAAGCTAGAAACCCTTCACAAATATTCCACATCTTTCATCTATTTAGTTATGAAAGTCAATTAGAAAATCCTTTGAATCCACTCATCTTCAACCTCTTCCCACGCATTCATACATTCACAAAGAAACTTCATTCATTCTCCATTTAATTTAAAACATTCATGACAAATAGGACTTTCTCTCATTAATTCAGCTTTGTCACATATTTCATACTTTTGACAAAATTGTAATTCAAAATGCCCTTTCCATTAGTGTGTATTGCACAGAACTGAATTGGAGTTGGGAGCACACAGTTGATTGAGATGACCTAATTAACACAGTTTGACTTGCATGCTTTAAACTAATAATCTCCTAATATTCAAGGTAGAGAGATATAGTAACTGTATTTTAACAGGAAGTGCAGGATGACCTTGTTTTTCAAAATAAAGACTCCTTCTTAACAGGGCGCAGTGCACCTAGCATTCAGGCACACTCAAAATTCAGAAATGTTCTAGTTTTTATTACTATTCCAACGGCAGTCTCCCAGCAGGGTCCTCTGATGACATCAGAAGGGTCCATGGGGGGTGGGGTGGACTCGGTGTCGTTGATCAGACGTGTGAAGTTAGCGTAGTACTCCTTCATGGCCCAGATGGAGGCGTTCTTAATGGACCCCTCTAATTCCAGCTACGAGGTGCAAAGAAGGGAGTCAGTCAATGGAGACACAAGTTTCTATTCTATTTCATGTGAATGTCTGGTGGATCATCCATCAAAAACGAATCCTACATCATCATCCACTTTTAAAAATAAATATCATATAGAGTTCTACAAAACAGACTGTATGACTGTATGAGGGTGGAAAATTCTGGTAAAATTAACAGACAACAACAGTGTGTAAAGTCTGGCTAGAGACCCCTAGTGGCTAAAATGTTCAGTACAATACAGAAGTAGGGCTAGAAAAGTTGAACCTCAGGTTGGCACAACAGGAAAAGACCCTGGATTTTAAACAATTTAAAATGCATAAGATATTTTGTGTGCAAACTTGCCCTTTTGGTCCGAGGGTGGAACTAGAGGGTCAACATCCTGATGCAACTAATAAGGCAAAACTAAAGCCAAGACATTTGTTGAAAAGTGTTAAAAAAAAGATATCAAGATTGTGCCAAGACTGTCTGAAGGGTTTCGACAAAGTTATCATCATCAAGTGGATCTGTGGGAAATGTTTCACTATTAGAAGCTGTATATAGGACACACACACACACACACACACACACAGCTACCATACCTTGTTGTTGACCTCATCAAACAGAGCAAACAGAAAGGTGTAGAGGTTTCCCAGGAAGAGGGCGAAGATGCGTCCGAGCTGCCACTTGAGGGCGATTCGAGGATGGTAGTCCTCCAGCTCAGCAATGGTCTCAAACAGAGGAGGACACACCAGACCCAGCAGAGACATGATGATCTCCAACTGTCCAAATCAGTCAAAATCACCAATAACATCTTCTCGTCAAATATCTATTTCAGTACAACAGACAACACCCTTATATACAGCACATTATATGTGTACATAAATATATAAAGACCATTTTGAGTGCAATTTAAGACACATTTTACTTCCATTATGGCAAAAAGAAAAATACAAGCATGTAAGTATATGAACGAAAATCTGTCTATGTCAGTCTCGATTACAAAAAAAAAATCCTATCCCGCATTTGAAAGCGAGCCTGCAAAATGCAACTTTATACAAACAACGTAAAATTTGTTAATCTAATCATCATTTTTAAGAAAATTCAGATTATTGGATTTTAGACTTTAGGAACCCACAGACACCCTGTTACTTTATGTTTAAAGTAAAGCCTGTAAACTAATTGCTCCACAGTCACACAGTGCTCCCACTACAATTCTTCCTCCTTTAAAACTGTTTGCTCCATCCTTTCAGTTTAAGAATTAGTACAGATATAAACAAACAATATTTATTTAATAGAACATTATGTGAATATTAACAATTACACTGTAGAAAATATAATTGCTGAAAATAATAAAAACTACAAACTGAGATTTGGTATTGCTGCCTGGCAATTAGTCCAGTCCTCACGATATTATATAATTAGCTTTGTCTGTTCAGTGTAAACATAAGCCTGTAGGCTCTGACTGCAGCTTTAAGTCTCCTTTCCTTTTATATACTTTCAAATATAACATTCTATTTGTACTTTGGCTTGACTGAATAATTGATGGTTATTATTAACTGAGAGACGTGCATCCATTACCCAGTATGTCCAACTATCAACAAACAAATTCAATATTTAATCAACAGTCAATTCACTGCTTTGCATCTCGTATTACAGAACTGTAACTAAACCTTGACTGAGAGACTCGATAATCATTATCTTATTTTAAAATGATGTGCGTCTTTGAGGAGAGCCATCACACCCACATACTGTCTGCTGGAGAGCACAAGTTTCACTTTGTGTATGTGCATATGAACGAAGTTAACACAGTTCATAAACACTGTTGCCTGTTGCAAATGTAAAGTTGTATTTTACTGTCACTTTTCTCAAACAGAAGTCAGAGAACAGCCCTGGAAGACACAGACAGAGAGCTGTCTGTCACAGCTTATGTTTACATTGTATAGACAAAGTTGTCCAGCTGTTACTGAGACAGACAGACAGACAGAGAGATTCACTGCAAACTGCACATCAGCTTACATTACTATACAACATTAGTGTTATTTACTGACATCAGACACAAGTCTACCTGATTCCTGTTCCCATAATTCACTCTCATGGTGTTTTTTCTCTTTTTCTGATGGATAGTTCTGTTCATCCTCTCATCTGAGTTGTAAACACTGACACCCACTCTGACATGAGGGGGAGGGTGCTTGAAAATTTACGGGGCCCTACACAGCTTGCATAGTGAGCGTATAGGGCCGACCGGCTCTTGCCTTTACAGTCTATTTTTTGTTGACTTTTACAATTTACAGGGTGTCACATGGCCAAAAAGCTCCAGAACAAGCAACTAGACGAACTAGGTGAGTCTCGAGTTGAGAGTGAGCAGTGGTGGTAGTAGACGTAGCAGGAGTATTACCAGTGACAGTCAATAATTAGGCTTGTTCTGTTGAAAAAGTGATTCCTTTTGCAGATGAATTTAACTTTGTTACATTTGTCTAGTGTCCTATAAACCTGTTTGCAGTATTAGTGATAGCAGGAACGGCAGCAGTAACAGCAGTAGGAATATTTCCTTCCGAACCATCTGACCATTATTACCTCGTTCTTCTCGTACCAGCTGAGGTCATCTCTGTCAGCGAACTCCTGAGACCTCTTCACCACGAAGTAGATGAGGTATCCGCTGCCACCGAGGCTGCAGATAATCAGGAAGTTAGCCAGCACTCTGAGGAACCTCCGCAGGTGTATGTTCTCATCCTTCTGGTTCTCCTGCTCGTCCACGATGGACTCCTGTTGTTTGTCAAAACAGGAACAGAGAAGGGAACTTAATCTGTCATTGACTGCATTAACGGTGTAGCAGTGAGCTCTACACATGAAACACAACAGTTGTCCTGAGAAATAGAGTCATGTTGTTGTGTTTGTGTTTCTTGTAAACCTGTTGCTATGGTTACCTTGAAGCTGGTGGTGATGGAGGCATACTTGTTGTCAGCGGTCTCTGAGTTGCCTATGAGGTAATCCCAGCTGGTGAACATCTTCCAGGCAAATGTGAACTCTCCTTCCTCTCCGTCTCCACCACCGACATCAGCATTCTTGGCCATTCTGGAAAAAACAAAACAGCCTTCTTTATGGGCATGAAGGCAGACAGGGAGCAATATGGAAATGAATCTTCATATTTGAATCACTAAGCACCAAATACACAATTGTTTTATCTTGACGTCTTTCAGTTATCCCTGAGTCCTGCTTTGTTTTGTCGCATTTTTTAAACTTAAATGACTTAATAGGTTGTTTGACAGTAAATGAATGAAAAGCAACCATACTGTATGAAGCCACCTGAGCCTCATTCTGCTGCAGACTCACGTGCGGATCACAACCATCAGGCTGTACCCGAAGGTGCCGATCCCAACCATGAGGTAGGACAGAGGCAGCCTGAACTTCAGCAAGCCGATCGTCCTCTGGCTGTTGTAATAACCGTAGAACAGGACTGAATACTTGCAGTAGCCCTGAGAAAAGAAGAAGAAAAGAAGAGGTTCTTTTTTTTCTTCCCTCACTCATCTTCCTCTAGTGTCTGTGTTCATGTGTGTGACATAGTTGTGCTGCCATTCTAGCTGTCGAAAGATAGGTTTGGATCTCAGAGAATGTTCTAGTTAAATAAAGGTCAAATTAAAAGAAAAAGTGGGGTTTTGATTCCATATCTTACAGTATGTTACATCTCACTTATAAAGAAGCCAAAGACCTTCAGTTACACAGTTAAGAAGTGAGATGCTCCCTCTGGCTGCTGTGACTGACAGAAATAATCAGGAGGAAATCAAGTTGTGTCAGCTGTACGATTTGGAAAGAGTCCAGTTTTTGGCCACAAAGTCTCTTAAAAAATATCTTTTAAAAAAGTGAATAGTTGTTTCATTTTAAGCATTTAAAATTTAAAATTCAATTATATTTAATTACTTTGATCTCTCTTGTTTTTGATAAATTTCTCAAATTTTCTCTTTACACATGTGTATGATTGTATAAGTTATGTGAACTAATTTTCTTTATTTTGGACTTTTTGTAGTTTAATTTGAAAATGTATGAACTGAAACCACTGAGGGTTGACTATATTTATATAACTGACACATTAAAAATTGTATATTATATATCAGACTCACGTTGAAGTCCATGAGGACGGAGTAGTCCTGAGCCGTGTCCTGCTCTGCTCTGGGCACAGTCTTCCTGGGAATAGATCCATAGGGAAGACCCATCAGAACCTGGAAAATTAAAAAGAATTAAATTAATTTACATTTTATTTAATTACACTTAACAGATTTTTCTTGATGATTATTCTTGATGTATCTGTTTACTGATTTTTGACTGTCAGTTTTCATTTTGATTTACATAAACAAACAAAATAAGTCTGTTTGGATCTAAGTTTAATGCTTTGCTTTGCTTTGAAAATGGCAACATGAATAGACTTTATTATAGAAACAGGACCACATTATTTACCTCGGGGAGGACCACCAGTCCAAACGTAAACCCAAAAAGAACCAGGTTCATGCCGTACATCCAGCGCAGGAAGATAAAATAAGATGCCACAGATGACCCAAAGTGACCTGAGGACATCCAGGAGATTTTTAAACTCAGATTCTGTCCACTAGGAGGTGCTGTTCAGCTGGTAAACACTACGGCTGTGCAGTAAACAAATCTTACTTTCCACTTCTTTGATCTTCCTCTCCCAAGGGATGCAGGCTGTTCTGAAGTTCTCAAAATCCCTCTGGAACTTGATCCATTTCTGGGAAGAAGATAAAAAGATTGAAAATTATGGAAGGAAAACACACAGACACACTCACACAAGCGAAAAGCAAAGATAGGAAGTTTGAATTTGTGCCTGACCTTCGTCATCATCACTTTGTAGGCGTACCACTTCCTGCCTTTTCCTTTGCCCAAAGCTCCTTCAAACTTATCCACAAACTGTTGAGCCTCCCTGTGAAGAAACAAGGGCACATGTGATATAAATAGCTATTAAAATATTGAAATGAGCTGGATTTATGTTTTTCCACATTGATTCATGTCTACAGTTGTCCCAATAACAAAACCATAAAACTGTTTAACAAAGACAAATATTGACTACATTCGAAATCTTCAGATGAGTAAGTTTTGTGTTGCAAGTGCGCATTTCTAGTTTCAGATGAAAAGTTCAGTCACATTAAAAAAAGCTTAAATTCAAAGCAGAAGTGATCTTTGAACATTCAGACATAAAATATCCAGTTTACCAAGTGGAATTTATATTTTCACAAATGATCCACCCAAACCAAACCAGGGTAAAAACTGGATTTGATTTATTTATATCAAGGCTTGAAGTATAGCTTTATGTTTCTGGGTTGAAGAGAAGAACTTTTATCTCAAGATGGAAACCAGTTCAGGTGTAAGAGATTACTTCAGGTGCACAAGCCTCCGCTTCATCCTCCACGGCTTGTTCCTGATGTTAGCGATCAGTTTCTTCTTCTCCTCCACCTCCTCCATTAGCCGGGCCATCTCTCCCTCTGACATGGAGTCCTCCTCCTCGTCGTCAGAGTTGGAGTTGGAATCAGAGGAACTGGAGCAGAAAAGGCAGATGGAGAATGGCGAATGGAGGGAGTGAGTTTGTTGAAGGGATAACTTTGTATACAGAATGAAACTGAAGGATGTTCATGTTACCCAGGGTAACTTTGGTATTTTTAAAAAGGAGGTAGATGAAAAATATCAGGAGAAGAGCAAGAGAGAAGTGGAGCATCAGAAAGGCAGAAACAGTGGCTAGAGCTGGAATATTTTCCCATCTTTCAACCAAACCAGGGTTGGTGTAGTATTCTGGGACACACAGCGGGATGTAAGGACGGTGCGGTTCGTACGTTTTTTTTTTATTTGAATGAAGTGTTACAATGTTCGATAATCTGCAAGGTAAAATGACTTTGTTTTTGTCAGTGGAGTCTGGTGGCTTTGAACAGTGATGTAACTGCTGTTTCTGGTTAACAGAATGATCTTAATCTTTCACTAAAAGGTCTATCTCTGCAGGGATCCTTTCAGTAATGTTGTCAGACACTTAAGATAAGAATCTGAGCATGTCAGTGGCAAAACAAGTACTTTTAGCACATTGATGGTGCGCAATTGCCCATAAGGATTACGTTGTACCTTGTATGTTCTGTATTGATTAATTTTTAAGTAGCCAATATGGCTCAATAGTATATCACAGGACCATTTTATTGTATTGTAATTTGACAGTTAGGTTGGTAGTTTAACTTCCTCTGACCTACCTGTCGTCCTTCTTTTTCTTCTTCTTCTTGTCCTTGTCATTGTCCTCGTCTTTCCCCTTGTTCTTCCCTTTGTCCCCCTTCTTACCTTTACTGTCCTCCTCCTCCTTCCCTCCTTTCTTTCCTCCCTTCTTCCCCTTCTTTCCTTTGTCTGCGTCACTGTCCTCCTCATCACTGTCCTGGGCTTTGCCTCCTTTCTTCTTATTGGCTGCTCCTCCTCGCTTCTTCTTGGGAGCCTCGTCCTCACTCTCATCCTCATCATCATCGCCACCGCCACGTTTCTTGGCAGGCTTCTTCTTGTTATTCGCTCCCCTGCGTCTCCTGGGAGGTTCGTCCTCCTCATCGTCCTCATCTTCGTCCTCACTGGCTGGTTTTTTCCCCCGGCCTCTGCCCTTTGCACCTCCTCTTCCACCTGCCTGCCTCCTGTTTGTTCTCTTCTGGGTGCCACCGTCTACATTAAGACCAATTAAAACACACAACATACAGCATTTGGTGTTCTGGTTATTAGGCTAGACTCTAGAGTATAATGCTTTCAAATCTGTTCCATGAAATTCTGTTTTATCTACTCACCATCACTGTCACTCAAATCCCCGTCTATCTCTATCTCAACTGAGGAAGAGCACAGAAAAAAACAACAGTATCATCGAGCACATATATCTACAATTAACACAATTATAATTCTGTTCTACAATTATTAAATTCAGTGCAAAAAATGTCCACTTTAAAAGTAATTTCATTATTATTGAGTCTAAAATTTACTTCATACATGAGTGAAGTCAGTGGCTCTTAGGCAATAGAAGAAGAGGCGTTCATATACTGTATACTCATTTTCTGTAGTGGTTTTTATGGCCCCAGTGTTTGGCCTTCTGAATAGTATCCCTGCACTAAACAACATGGATGTAAACAATGCTGGAGTTAAAATACATAACAAATTGGCTTTGCAAATGTTTTATGAGGAAAAAAATGCATTTGACACGTTTAGAGATCAAGGATACACATGGGGCATTTTTGGTTACACTGAATGCAAAATAACTTTTGTTACAGGGCACCTTTGAAGAGTAATTAAACCCCCAAAACACTGTTTTCTGCTGTAGCCCTGTGTTTTTGGATATTTACTAGTGCTGTTGATTGATTCTGGTCCAAATCTCAACATTTTAGTATAAAGTAATTGAATTCTACATATTTTGCTAATAATATGCATAGCGACTGCCCTTTACTGGTTAAAACCTGGCTCTTGCAATTGAATTTTGCTCTTGACTGATCTAGAGGGAGGTGACATACATACAGGTGCATCTCAATAAATTAGAATATCATGACAAAGTTAATTTATTTCAGTAATTCAATTCAAAAAGTGAAACTCATATATCATATAGATTCATTACACACAGAGTGAAATATTTCAAGC